GAAAAAAATGACGTGGGATAGTTACATTAATTGCACCTCCAAGGACACAGAGTGCTGTGATATGCAATGAATTTATAATATTTCACGAAATTAGGCTTGGATATTTTTTCCCAAATCATCACTTTTATAGAAACAACTATTATCATTGTGTAAACATAAATATATATGTTGGATGTAAATATGCTTGACAACAAACTGAGGTCGACGGTTGTTCAGTGGGTAAGGTTATATGGGTTTAAGATCTGTTATTACATATTATGGACGCTGAGCTTTCGAAGTCACTTTTATTCGCTTTCCTGTGTTCCATAATTACAATAGAATTTAAAAATAAAGACATAGCAGAAACCAGGAAAATATGAATGAAACATAATAATAATAATAATAATAATAATAATAATAATAATAATAATAGTGATAATATCGCAAGGGCCTTATAGAGTGTGCGCGAGAGAATATTGGTACGAGCGAGCGCAGAAACCCCGACCCCCCCCCCCCCGGGCTGCCAGTTCGCTCGTCCAGATAGTTAAGCCACCGCGCGCACTGGACCTCAGAGATGGAATGCGATGATAGAGCTTTGGCTTCGATTTTTGATTTTGTTAATAACTTTAACAGAAATTGCAATGCGGTTCAATTTTGCAAAAATATTTCTTAAATTGTAAATCGATATACACTTTTGTACCGCGATTCAACGGATATTAATTAGTAATGCTAATCGCCTCCGAAGTCGTGGTTAAGCAGCAGTACAATATATATATATATATATATATATATATATATATATATATATATATGTGTGTGTGTGTGTGTGTGTGTGTGTAGATTTCTTAGAACAAAAAATACAGCAGTGTTTTTTTCAGATAAAGAACGCTTCATCATATGGCAGTTCGCATGCAATCTTCAAATCTTCGTCACAGGTGAGGGAGTTCAATCACTGGTAAGAGTGTTTTACTGCTGTGTGACAAATATAAATTTCCCTTTTCCGTAACAAAGGGCATTATTAGAATTCTTACATTAATACCAATGTATTTCAAACGACGCACAATCAAATATATTGCAATGTGTGTGTATCAGACAAACGTACAGTATCACAACGTACGTCGCACACATACACACAAATATGCCATGATGCGCGGTGACAGGTATACTGAAGCTAAACTCTCTTTTGTTCATTGTAACAACAGATAGACAAGTAAACACCAAGCACACACAGCATGTCAGGTTAAGTTACATATTTGTAGATAAGAATTTGACTGGCATCCCTTTTGAGTTAGCAGAGAATTCTAAGTACTCTACCCGATGTTATACCACACTGGTTGGATTACATTTAATGAAGTGATACATCAAATATAACCACAAAATATGTCCTCAGGTTAAACTATAACGATTTTCAGCTTGCTATACTGCTTTATATTGACTATTCTTTAATTCTTTATTTGGTTGAATAATTATATATCTTTTGTTTTTATTTCCAGAACAGAGCAGATGAACAAAATCGTATGAAATCACCGAAGCTTTTAAATAAACCTTAATTAAGAAGAGAGAATACGCACATGACAGTGATAAATCGGAGGAGTGTGTAGCCCCTTTTTGTAACATGATTCTAAATGCTTATGTTTAAGCTTTTATGATTATTTTTTGTGTTTTTCTCCAATTCGTTGTGCAGTTGCGAAATGTGTTTCCATATTCCTTTTGGTAAGGTAACCTTTCAAGTGGCAACAACTAACTTGTAGTAAACAAAATGTTTATGAATGAATTGCTTTCACTGTGTCTGATTGGTGAAAGGACATTTCCCTTTCCCTTTCGATGTCCTTTTAAGTTAGTAAAAGGAAGGAGAGTCATATCAATATGTATATGATATATAGATAGATAGATAGATAGAAACTCAACGATAGTATGAATGACTGTTTGATGAATAACTATGTAATACTTATTAATCACTGGATAGGATAATTGGTTTACTGATCAATGAAATGTAAATAATATTCATTAGACTATCAACTAAATCTTCAAACGATTTTTTTTTTAAATGGACATGATAACAAAGAAAGAGAACATTAGTTCAAAATTCATTTCACTGAGTGTGAACTATCTCCTAATTCCTGTGTTATCAGTCTTATGTCGTGAAAATTAATTTTGAAAAATAAACTTTAGTAATAACTCTATTTTTTCAAAATAATCAAATGTAAGATAGCGATTGGGAAAATGTCTGACCGATTTGTTTTTCCATAAATGTGTTACATCATTTCGTTTTGAACGAATTACTATAAATCACTTCAGCAGCAAAGTTAAATATTCTAGAAGACAGGTTTAAAACTAATTCAATTATTACAGCACTACCTATGCATCCATGACATTGTATCTCTATACAAACAAATTTTAGATGAAATATATTTTTCAAATCTTTACAATGATGATGTATCGTACCACTGCATTCTGTGTGATCAGGGCCCTTTCGCAAATAAAATAAATTATAGATCTGGTTATTTTGGTGTGCGGTTGTTCCAGCTTTACCCTCTCCTTCATGAAATAAAATCATAACATAAATAAATATTAAAACAAACTTACAACCATTTTAATAAATACGTTAAAATGAATAACAAACATTTTAAAAAGTACGTTAAAATTAATCAAAAATCATTAGAGAAATTCAAAACTTACTTTGGAAAACTATGAAATTCAAGAAAACTATAAAGACTTTAAAATTAAAGAAAAAGAAAATCATAAGAAATAAAATTTAAAAAAAATCATAACTATGTGACAAATATTATATAATGGTATTTCTACATCCAGCTCCTGTATGCAAGAGAATGCAATCTCAGTCTTAACCTTTTTTTTTTTTTTTTTTTTTTTTTTTTTTTTTTTTTTTCATCCGGGGCGTAGAGCCAGTTTCACTCAGAAAATGAACACCATTTGCTGCCTTTTCTGCCGAACTGTTTATTTTTCGGGGCATATGGGAAGTAAGGAGTGCCGGTGACGTCACTATTTACAGATTTACAAAAGGAATGAAAGACCTTCTTTCCACTGACAAAAAACTCTTCCGCACTAGTAACTGTCACAAATTTCATTCACAACACTTCTACAGAAACGCTGCCTATCTGACCAAAGTGATAAAAACTAGCTAATTTGGTTAAAAAGAGAAAAGTAGAAAATAATCAAAGTAATAATCAGCAGTGAAATAGTACAAGGAAGGCTAGATCAGTAGCATCTCAAGGAGGTGTCATGGCATCTGATTTTGATGACATCACAAAAGTTGCGATTCTATTTTAGGAAAAAGCACATGGGGTTTATTATTCATTTTGGTCTTTTCAATTTTCAAAACGAGTGGAAAATAATGATTTTAATGGTTATATTTTCATTAAACAATCATGAAAATAGCCCTGTGGGACGCCATGACATCTCCAGTTGCTACTGATCTAGCCTTCCCCACAAAGCATCCATAACTTTTGTGACGTCATCAAAATAAACAGACGCCATGACACCTCCTCGAGTTCCTACTGATCTAGCCTTTCCCGTACCGCCACCATTGCAACGTCATTTGCGTACCGTACTGGTAACAAGCCTTCGAATGCAGGCGTTGGCCAAGAACTGCGCTTAATATTTTACCAGAGAAACTATTTTAAGGTCTCTGCTTCTGTAATTTCCATAACATTATATTCAAAGAAACTGAAATTAACTGAAAACAAAAGGAGATAATAGAGATAATGGAATTGTGTTTTTTTATATAAATCGTAAATCATTATAAGACGAACAATTTATTTCTTGTAAACTCCTCGTCTCTCTAAATCGAGAATATACCTATCTTAAAAAAAGAAAGAAAAAAAAAAATTCTTCTGCTGATATCATTTTCAGTGACTATCATTTTCTTCATAAATTTGTATGTATGGAAATGGGTAGGCCTATATTTTGATGCAGTGATGCATATTTATTTTGATAGCGCGTCTGAGTGTAAGAGTTGCCAATTGGAAGTGTGTGTCACTGTTTTAGAGGCACAGTAAGCACATCTAGAAAAAAAATATCATGCTTTATAAAGATGTTAGGATAGAAATATTTATTCACTTTAACCATAGATTTTTTCTGGCTTGACAGTTAATAGAATCGTTCGTGTGGATTAGCAACACTGCTCAGGCTTTAGCAATCGTTTTAAGCAGTGTGCAGTGTAGTTCTTTGCATCAGAGCAAGAAGTCCTGGCCAAGCGCTCCACTGCTTAAAACGCTTATAATTTTGATTATTTAAATATTTATAAGATTTACTTAGAACTGAATAAAAAGGGGAAGCTGATGGATAATTAAAACTAGTCATGCTAACAAAGAATTGAATTTAAAGAAGTAAGAAAGCAAATCAATATGCAACGAGAACCAAAGAAAACGTACAACAACGGGCAAACTAAAACAAACAAGAAAACGTGAAAGTCAAGGCTAAAATCAGCTGCCGAAATATAAAGATAAGAACAAAAAGATGGCAGGTGGGAAAATGCTGAGTCGACGCAAAGTATATATAAATGGTCAAGTATCCCCGGTTTGGCCTCACGCGCATGCTACGTCATAGTGGGCGGAGCGTCTGCAGATAATTTCTGGAAAATTTGGTCCAGCAATATAGAAAGTGAGATAGGAGAGAACGGTGACAAAGTAGCATAGACTCGATTTATTGTCAGTTCTCAAATTTTATGTAGTAATCCTGATACTTTTTATAACATTGACATAGGTCATTGTTAATATAGCATTATTCTCATTGTGTTAATCGGGAAGCCCATGAGACAAAACAAATCCAAGGAATATCATACACCTCAAAACATTTCAAATTTATTCTTTCTTAGCAAAATACATGAATCGACCATAAAATAACACAATACATATTTACATTCATTGGACATTAATTTTTATACATTACAGAAGTTATAAACAATATTTTTTTCATATCATTCTAATACATTACTTCTCAGTTTACTTTGGGTTACATTTCTATTCAAATTTCTTATTCGGAAAAATGTTCTACACCGAGTGTAATAAGATATTGCTTCTTGCAATGAACACTCCAAATTACATTAGACCCTCTGCTTTAATTTCCTGTTCCAACCTGACATTAAATTCTAAATCACCATCTACATCATTATATTCTGGATTGTCTAAATCCTCTATTGAAGCACAAAATCATTGATGAAAAGCAGTGTTTACTTTGAAGAGTTCCATCTGCATTAGCAACTTGCTTATCATTCCCTTCCATTAATGGATAACCCGATAGTGAATTTTCTTTTATTTTCAGATTCTCTGCTGTGCTTCCTTCCCAACAGATCACCTTCTTTACATCTTAGATGCAATCTAATTATGTGCTTTACTGAAACTGCATGGGGTTGTTGCAATGACAACCTATTAGCTCAAGTGTGGCAAAAATATTCCACTACATCTTGATTAATTTTATATGTTACGAAGAGTGAAACATTGTGCTGTTCTTTAATCATTTCATACATGCCAGAAAATGACTTACATGATATGATAATGGCTTTTTGAACTTGCCTTTAAACATCATAAACTTTCAATGTGGTCATTGTATCTGCCATATCTTTTAAGACATTATTTTGACTTTCGTTACTTTCAAATGCGTTTCTTGAAAACTTTTGGTCATATAAAACCATGGAATTTAGCATATCAAACTGTCTACTAGTGAAATAAACTTTGTTATTTCTGACCAATTCCTCGAACGAAACATAACCTTTTCGCCAAAATTATTCAAAGCTAGTGCAGTTGTTGTAGAAAGCAGTTGGGCGGCCAGTTTTACATTCATTCTTTGGTGGCCTTAAACATCTATATGTTTACGTGAAAATCGATATGTCATCTTTTTATCACTTACGCTACCTATAACCAACTCCCTTACGCTATTATTTTCAACTTTTCCTTCAGTCAAAGGAAAAGGTTTTTCCTAATTTGTTTCAATAACAAATATCTACCAGAGGCAGCTTGATTTTTAAAATCTTATTAGTGTTGTATGTCACCATTCGTTTTATCAGTGTTGTGTGACACCATTTGTGTTTTGTGTCACCATTCGTGTTATTAGTGTTGTGTGACACCACACACACACACACACACACACACACACACACACACACACACACACACACACACACACACACACACACACACACACACACACACACACACACACACTACACACACACACACAACACACACACACACACAAACACACACACATACACAACACACACACACACACACACACACACACACAAACACACACACACACACACACACACACACACACACACACACACACACACACACAACACACACACACCACATATATATATATATATATATATATATATATATATATATATATATATATATATATATGTATGTATGTATATATCCTTCCTTGTTTTGTTGATGGGCCATTATGGAATGCCGTTGCTGTGCATACTTCAGTGCCGTACAATAAAACATGTAAGCGAAATTTTAGAATAAAATGGAAAAAGTGAGAAGACAACGAGTGAACCGCTGGTTGATACCGCGGTAAAATGCAGCTAGGCAGTTAGCCGTTTGCCAGGGCTAGGAGGGAGACGCGAAGTTCACAGAGCTAATGGGCAGTCTTGGACCGGCGTTTGCAGCAGGAACATCTCTACTTGTAGCATTTGGAATTTTATTTATATGCTTTCTATTTTAATGGAGTTATAACCATTCGTTTTATATTGAATATTCCCGCATTTAAGTATTTTAGTGCAGTCCGTTTAAATAAACTTTTGTTTCTGCCCGTTTCTCCAACCTATTTAGATTTGTGGATACTTACTATATACCATTTTGCAGCCTCTATCTCCGAGCCCCCTACGGAACTATATCACGGGGTTGCGGCTACCCTACTCTGCTACGCTGGGTCCTTGGCGGCAGCTGTACGAGATTAGGTTACCACAGATCGGAGGTGGCATTGTTGAGGTCATCTAAACGGCATTCTATACTGAAGGTGGGTAATTTACTCTGTTAGGTCTTGGCTGTGGCGCACGTTTGAGTGGGAATGTGGAGTGATATCCCGTGTAAAGGGGGACAAGCAAGGTAAAATTGCATGAAATGTGCACTGAGACTGCTAGGGCCACCGGTCGTGAATATTTTTATATATTACGAGATACGAGATTGGTTTCCTTTTTTTTTAATGTTCAAGTGCCCTTTGTGGTAATTGTTACAGAGAGCGACACACCCTGTCAGAGACTGTCGAAAAAAAAAGTTTTTTCTGCATGAAATCGTATTTCATCGATTTTCGGCGTTGTTTCTTCTGCGAATGAATCGTTCAGGAGATCGAGTACCATTTCTCCATCGACGATCTTGATTTGATAGTCCCGTTAATAACTATTGCAGCTTGATTTCTGAGGCCATCAAGGGTAGAGGGGGAAGAGACCGACGCGCTTAGATAGAGCAAAATGGACACCGCCATCTTATAGAGCGGAAGAAATGATGGGATAGGATATGGTATAAGATGCAGCCCGTTAAATTACGAAAATGTAACGCGCGGATGACTTTCAATCCTAAGTCGATCCGCTGGACAATATGCAGTATAAGGTAGGGTAATTGTTACCGATTGCGACGCACCCTCGCAGAGACTAAGTTCCAAAGGGGGGAACCCCCTCCTCCCCTCCAAGTGGGGGGAGGGTGTCCTCGCAGATAATTATTTCTAAGGGGGGGGAGGAAGGAATGAGGGGATAAATCGATTTCACGAAGCTTCATTTGGGGGTGGGGGGTGCACGATCTCTATAACAACCTGTAAATGTCGAGGTAAAATAAATAACACAAACATCGATAGAAAGTTAAATTATGAGATACGATCCTAAATTTGTCCCGATGGCAATAGAAAGGCAGTATAATCAGAAAGACGAGACAAACTTTGTCCGCCGGACAGCGAACTGAGCGAATGAAATACCGCTAAAGTAAACAAGCGAAACACGCAATGCGTACAAAGTCGATATCCGATTTTTTTTTTTTTTTTTTTTAAAATAACGAAAACATGTATACAATTACCCCCCCCCCCTGCTTATTCGCACCATCCATCAATTGATTCCATCAATTCCTCCTGCGGCGAGGAGGAATTGATGGAATCGTTTGTTTTCGGCCGGGTATGCCATCATAAATATGGCCCTGGCCAAATATCCGACGAAGTGATAACTCCTCCTGCCGAAGCGGGGCACTTTGGCTTTGGCCTCCCTCCATTTACCCAAAATCTATTTTTAAGGTGTTTACGCTCCTTGAGGACTTTAAGCAAAAAGTGTCAAGCGGCTCCACGGCAACGAGGAAAAAATCCCTACTCTTGTGGCATACTCCTCCAAAAACCCACTGACCTATTACTCGACCTACGTTGTATTTACGTTTTCCAAATTTAGATTCATCAATCTCGACAATTTCCTCTGACCCACCAATTTTGTCGGATTGTTTCAAAACACCCAAAAAATTAACACCTGGCAGAAGCTCGCCTAATCGTAAATAGTCCTGTTTGTGAAATTAAACTCTCCATGCAGATGCACAAGAAAATCTCTCAAATACAAATTGACAATTTTTGTTACTTTCAAAATCTAGCTTACTGTTATCAAACCAGTTCTTAAAAATAGATTTTTTGAAACTGCATGTATTTCTTTTTTTCCATTTAATGGTAAATATAAGGCCTCTGCATCTGATTTGTTCTATCCCACTCTATTTCTTCCGCTCTATAAGATGGCGGTGTCCATTTTGCTTTATGCACATCAGTCTCTTCAATCTCTGCCATGTCTTGTTTTCGATGCTGCATCAATTCTAGGTAATTAAGACTCTACAGCGACAACGAAGAAGAAAGACCTTAACTATCGCAATTTGATTTCTGATGCCAGCAAGTACCCCAAATCCCCCCCGAAAAAAGAGCCCCCCTATCAACCCTCCCCTCGGGCAGTGCCCAAAGGGCACGCCTAGTCACAGCACCATAAATTTCTAGGTTAGGTTGGGTTATGGGTCAGGACGTTTTTGGGGGGTTTGGAATGTGTGAAATCTTGTAGATTTTGCCGAAAGTTGGAATGAATTGGATTCCCGTAAAGTTTTGGCACGTCGGTGCAAAGTCTCAAAAATGACGGGCATGTCTGTCGAGTTTAATTTGTCGATTTTTAGCGTTTTTTGTAATAGTTTTATGCATTTTTGTTCGCGTTTCTTATTTAAGCCTACTTTACCCCATAATTTCCCTGATATACTTCATACCCTCCCCTGCTATCGGGGCAAACAAATTAAGATTGTCGATGGATGTGGTACTCCGATCTCAACGAAGCATTTGCACAAGAAACAACACCAAGAATCATTGAAATTAGTGGATTTTCTGCAGATAAATATCAAAATTGTTTCGAAAATAAGCCCCCACCCTATTATGCTTATTTACCGCCAATCCAGGTTGTGCATAAGTAGGTGTATATAATGTAGATTTAAGTTATGCATTCCCTCAAGTCATGTGATTTTAGATTATTATAGTATATTTGTGCACATGCTATAGTACATTTTACCATGATTATTGTTTATATTTTTTTCTTGAATTGTTCATGTATGGGAAATTGTTATTAGTGAATTGATTATTTAAATTTGTCATCACATTGTACTACTAGCTTTTGCTATTTTCAAAGAAATATTCGGATAATGACCCTACTACACCTTACTCGTAGAAAAATCCCCTCTAACTGCCATCTGACTCTGCCTGACTGAAAAATTAATTCAAGCTATTTGTATTTCTTTTTTACTTCAGGTATCTCAGTGTTAGAGATTGATTATATTAGCTACTACGAATTTAAATTGTTCATGATTTTCTTTGTGATGATTCATCAATACATGTGAAATTGCCTTGGTCATCCAAACGATTTTCTATTTCTTGACTCTCGCGATAATTATGATGCTAATTTGATTTTCAAACATTTCTTGATTAATCAATCTTAATCACGAATCTCATTTCACCAAGCGTGGGTGAAGACCCCAAGGTAGATCCTGGACATGTAGAGAGAACGTTCGACTTAAACAACAATAACATGTGCCCAGCTGCACACTTATCCCGCAGAAGCGAGCTGTGTGAGATTATCGCTGGTATTCACCAAGGGATAGGATGCCCAATTTGCGATCTACATAAGAGCTCGTTCGATGGTACTCCTTTTTTACGGTGGGGTACTCGCTTTTCCACAGGTAATTTTCTAAATATATGATACTCTCAACTCTGATATTGGCTGCCATTTGTGGGTGGGTGCTTCATGTGCAGGGTGGTGTGAAGCGATGGTGTGGTAGCCTAAATAGTGTTAAGTGCTTGCATGCCTTCTCGCTTGCAGCTGCCACCGCTGGCTAGCCTTGTGCGAAAAAGGGAGCAGCGCTGCATAAGTCTCCCCTGCCAGTGCATAGCCTCTCCATCATCTAGACTTTTGCAGTGCCTCCACGTGGCCACCTATGGAAACTGGTACCTTGCGGTCCCAGGCTGAACTGTACGGGATCTCGGAGCAGCAGGAGGCCCCAGAGGTACAGGGTCATGGCCTACCGGTGTGTGGACACGCCCTGGCCCTGTACTAACTCCTGCCCCTAAGCCCCCTGGGGTTAATGGGAGGCTTGGGGGAGGTGGGCCTTACCAGTCCTCCCCCCAGAGAATAAACCCACCGGCAGTGTTTTGTATAAATGGTAATGCTGGTGGATGATGGGTCCCACAGCCTGCCACCTTTTATGTGAAGCAGAGGTGGCTTCCACCCGGAGCGACTGCCTGAGGGTTAACCTCAGGCGGGAAGCCAGGGTTGGGGAGCTTGGAACGTCCGCTCTTTGCGTCATAATGATCTGTTGCCTCTATTATCGAGGGAACTGGGGAGGCTGAGAGTTAGGGTGGCTGCTCTCTCGGAGGTGAGAAGACCTGGCAGCGGCATGATCAGCGTAGGTGGCTACACCTATTACTGGTCAGGCCGCAGCGATGGTCACCATCCTCAGGTAGTAGCCATAGCTATCTCCAGTAGGCTCCAGCCCTCGGTGGTAGAGGTCACTCCAGTCGATGAGCATATAATGGTAATGAGACAAGCTGTCTTTTGGCTACATGTCTCTTATTGCTGTGTACGCTCCTACCGATGTTTGTAAACTCGACGTGAAAGAGATGTTCTATGCCAAACTTGCATCTGTGGCAGACAGTTGTCCCCGGCGAGATATTCGTATTGTTCTGGATGACCAATGCAGTATCTGGCTGCAATCGAGCTGTCTGAGATGTCAGTCGGTCCTCATGGTTCGAGAGTTGATACTGGCAGCGAGAATTTCCTCCTTTTCCGGGATTTTGCAAGATCCCAGAAATTGAGGATTTATGGCTCCTGGTACCAGCGCCCAGACCCACATTGTTGGACCTGGTACAGCGATGCAGGTAATGCAGCCAAGAAGATCGACCACATCCTCATTAGCACTCGTTGGAACTGCATGGTTTATAGGAGTGCCGAGTTCTCTGGTACTGACCATAGATTGGTTGTGGCTACCCTCCGGGTTCACTTCAAAACTCCCCAGTGGCCCCATAACCACCCTAGGGTGTTTCATTTGGACAGGCTGCAGGAGAGGGAGTGTGCTCAGGGGTTTGCTGAGACAATCTTTGAAAGCTTCACAACGCTTGACAATCTGACGGACCCTGTACTTCTGTGGGACACCAAGCACAAAAAGCTTGATGTAGCCCAAGAATCGATTGGAGAGTGCCCGAGGGCAAGACAGAATTTAATCTCTAAGGAGACACTGAAAAAGACAGATGCTTGCCGTGCGGCTCGTCTGGCAGGGGATCGGGATTTGCACCGTTCTTAGGTGCGCAGAACTCGGTCTCTGTTAAGAAGGGACAAGGAACAGTTTATTAGGAGTCTTGCTGAGGAGGTTGAAGGCCATTTCTTAGTAAATGACCTTCGTCCTGCATACCAAGCCCTGAGAAAACTGAATTCCAAGCCCTCTTCACAGGTGACTGCAGTTCGATTAGCAGATGGCCAGATCGTCTCAGATCCTGTTGCGGTGCGGGAGCGTTGGGCTGAGTACTTTGAGCAGTTGTATCAGGTTGACCTTCCAACAATTAACTTGGATGCGGGTGGTACCGTGAGTCCGCTGCCGGATCCACCCTCCCTAACTGAAGTTGGGGAGGCGATCTCCAAGCTGAAGAGTGGTAAAGCAGCGGGTATTTGTGGCATCCCAGCTGAACTATTAAAGGCTGGTGGCCAACCTATGGCGGGATTGCATGCTGTCCTGGCTGCCATCTGGCGGTCCCCCTGACTTGTTGAGGGGTGTGGTCATCCCTCTCTGGAAGGGGAAGAGGCACCGATGGGACTACAGCAATCACCTCGGCATCACACTGCTCAGTGTACCAGGCAAGGTTCTTGCCCACATCCTTCTGTGGCGTATTAGAGACCATCAACTAAGGCATCAGAGGCTAGAGCAATCTGGATTCACTCCTGGTAAGTCCACAATAAACCATATCTTTGCCCTTTGAGTCACTGTAGAGCGCCGTCGTGAATTCGGACATGGGCTGCTTGCAGCCTACATCGACCTCAAGGAGGAGTTCGATACAGTGCATCGGGAATCACTCTGGGAGATCCTGAGACTGCGAGGAATTCCAACAAGGATTATTGAACTAATAGCAAACCTGTATACTGGTACTGAACGTGCTGTGAAGTGTGGTGGGGGCCTGTCGAGCTTCTTTCCTCTTAGTTCAGGAGTGAGGCAAGGCTGTGTTCTTGCCCAACACTTTTCAATACCTGCATGGACTGGATACTAGGCAGAGCTACTGTTCAAAGTCATTGTGGAGCAACACTGGTTAATATTAAGGTTACAGACATTGACTTTGCCGATGATGTTGCTATTCTATCTGAGTCTTTGGAAACCCTATTGGTGGCTCTCGATGCATTTAGTAATGAAGCGAAGCCCTTGGGTCTAGAGGTCTCCTGAACCAAGACCAAGATCCAGGACTTTGGGGTCTTGCTAGGAGAACCTGTTCGGTCGGTATGTGCTTGCGGCAAGGACATTAAAGTCAGAGCTTTACATACCTTGGTAGTGCAGTTCATAACTCTGAGCTGTCAGACCAGGAAGTCAGCAGACAGATTGGCCTGGCAGCAGGGGTCATGAACTCTCAACAAGAGTATTTGGAGGTGCCGGTACCTGTGCAGAGGGACCAAGCTACGGGTTTTCAGGGCCCTGATAATGCCAGTTTTGCTCTATGGTAGTGAAACCTGGACATTATCCAGTGCCCTGGCGTTTCATCTTGATGCTTTTTGTAATAGGTCCTTGTGCCGGATCATGGGGTATTGTTGGCGGGACCACGTGTCTAACAAACGGCTGCACCATGAGACTGGCACAGGACCTGTTACCTGCACAATCCGGGACCACCAACTAAGGCTATATGGCCACCTGGCTCGCTTTCCACAGGCTGATCCTGCTCATCAGGTTGCCTCTGTAAGAGACAACCCTGGGTGGAGGAGGCCTGTGGGACGACCTAGGAGGTCGTGGCTTGGACAGATCAATCAAGCCTGTCGGGAGGAGCTCGAGATGGGCCGAGTCCCTGCCTGGCGGCTTGCCATGAGGGATCCCAAAAGGTGGACGCGGCTATGCGGCCCCGTCGGCGTCAACTCCTAATTTTGATTTGTCCCAAGAGAAGTTGACCTGATCTGCTTACATCATGCATTGCACTGCAAGTCTCTCTTCCGTGGCATTTTACAGTACTAAATAGGGTACCATTTTTATGATTTCGTATAGTAGTTGATTTAATGTTGCAATTACCATAACTTTGTCATTGGTGTAATTTTTTTTTTTTTTTTTTTGTACAGACAGATAGGTACTTATTTTCGCTGCACATAACCCGCGCTCCCACCCTTGCCTACGTACCGCCCCCTTCCTTACCCATACCTCTTTACCCCCACCCCTCTTCTTTAACCGCCTGTCCTCCGCCCCCCCCTCCTTTTGTTTTATCTCTTCTAACTCCCACGCCATTCTATTTCTCATTAACTCTCACTCTCCCGTTATACAATTACTAATGTCTCTAGAAATTATCTATCAATATCATATTACTCTTTGCTTGTGTGCTATACTCTGACTTATTCATATCATAACTCGCTCATTCATTCACTCATACAACTGCCACATACCCATGTTGTCGTGAGCAAACATATTTGATGTAATGAGTTGCTCCTGAAGTATGACGACTACATTACCTATTTTCATTATCGTTTTGTCTCGAGTTACTGTTGATGTGATAGACAATGTCAGTGAAATGAGAAAGGACATAAATATACTTCTTATTAGATGTATATTGTATGCACTACTACATAGCACACTGTTGAACTCTGCATTGTTGCATTCTTATTTTTTTCCAAGGAAGATTGTCGTTCAAGACTGTCTTTGCAGAAAGCAACACCTTTTGCTTCCTTGTAGTAATGCATAATCCTTATCTCTTGTAGATTTTCACCTGCTATCTGAGACAATTGCAACTCAAGCAAGTCCTTGCGGAGTATTGTAATTTTCTCCCTAAGAATATTCCTCTATCTTTTGACAATGAATTATTGAAAAAAATAATGAAAAAGGAATTCATGCAAATATTCAAGTATCATTTTCATTGAAATTATGTATTTTAATCACATCACACGGCCTTGTCACACAACACCCATACCCCACACTCCTGTGTCTCTGCCTGTGTCTGCCCTCAGTGTACGTCTTTCAGGGAACGCCAGCCCAGCTGCCCCGTCGAAGACGACAGTTCATAGCGTGTACCGAGCGATCTGAGAGTGGCCAGATGTCCCTGGATGCAATGCCCTGTGCTACCCCCATGCTGCGTCGAGTCGTGTGTCACCTCGGATGCAGCCTCCTCCTGGAGTCACCTACGCCTCTGCTGGGCTTCCCTGCACCAGCGCGAGACAACCTTCGCCCACGCTAACAGCCTCCACAACCATCTCCTTCAATAAAAGCCTGAAACCAGCATTCGTATCTCCCTACACCACCAAGTTAGGAACTTCTAGACACTGTCACTTTCTCTCCCTCTCCCTCTCTCTGAGGAACAAGGATTGCCTTCCAACGTCTCCAACGCTAGGGAACCGCGACCCGCTCTTGAAAGCTACAGCTCACTTGACCAGGGGTCTCGGCGCTGACCAGACCTCCCCCTTGGGGAGTCTCCCCATGCGTGCTCACGCTCGATGCGCCCTTGGGCTCCCTTTGCCCACAACTGCACCAGCACGAGACAGCCCACGCCACGCTACCTACCATCTCAGCAAATAAAGGAAGAAACCAGAATTGTGACTCCATAATCCACCAAAGTCAGGCAAACACAAATCCTGTCACTCTCCTTCTCCATCTCTCTGTCACTCTCCTTCTCCCTGCTCTCTGTCACTCTCCTTCTCCTCTCTCTCTCTCTGTCACTCTCCTTCTCTTCTCCTGTCACTCTCCTTCTGTCACTCTCCTTCTCCCTTCCTCTCTCTGTCACTCTCCCTTCTCCCTCTCTTCTTCTGTCACCTTCTCCCTCTCTCTCTCTCTCTGTCACTCTCCTTCTCCCTCTCCCTTCTCTCTGTCCTCCTTCTCCTCTCCCTCTCTTCTCTGTCACTCTCCTTCTCCCTCTCCTCTCTCTCTGTCACTCTCCTTCTCCCTCTCCCCTCTCTCTGTCACTCTCCTTCTCCCTCTCCCTCTCTCCTCTCTCACTCCTCTCTCCTCTCTCCCCTCCTCTCTCTGTCACTCTCTCTTTTCTCTCTCTGTCACTCTCTCCCTCTCTCTCTCTCCTCTCCTTCTCCCTCTCCCTCTCTCCACTCTCCTCTCCTCTCTCTCTCTCTCTCTGTCACTCTCCTTCTCCCTCTCTCTCTCTGTCACTCTCCTTCTCCCTCTCTCTCTCTCTGTCACTCTCCTTCTCCCTCTCCTCTCTCTGTCACTTCTCCTTCTCCCTCTCTCTCTCTCTGTCACTCTCCTCTCCCTCTCTCCTCTCTCTGTCACTCTCCTTCTCCCCTCTCTCTCTCTCTCTTCTCCTCTCTCCTCTCTCTCTCTCTGTCACTCTCCTTCTCCCTCTCTCTCTCTCTCTGTCACTCTCCTTCTCCCCTCTCTCTCTCTGTCACTCTCCTTCTCTCTCCTCTCTCTCTCCTTCTCCCTCTCTCTCTCTCTCTCGTCAACTCTCCTTCTCCCTCTCTCTCTCTCTGTCCCTCTCCTCTCCCTCTCCTCTCTCTCTGTCCCTCTCCTCTCCTCTCTCTCTCTCTCTGTCCTCTCCTTCTCCCTCTCTCTCTCTCTCTCTCATCTCCTTCTCCCTCTCTCTCTCTCTCTCACTTCTCCTCCCTCTCTCTCTCTCTCTTCACTCTCTTCTCCCTCTCTCTCTCTCTCTTCACCTCTCCTTCTCCCTCTCCTCTCTCTCTCTGTCACTCTCCTTCTCCCTCTCCTCTCTCTCTGTCACTCTGTCACTCTCCTTCTCCCTCTCTCTGTCACTCTCCTTCTCTCTCTCTCTCTGTCACATCTCCTTCTCCCTCTCTCTCTGTTTCTCCTTCTCCCTAAAAAACCTCTTCTCTCCTTCCTCCCTCTCTCTCTCTCTCTCCTTCTCCCTCTCTCTCTCCTCCCTCTCCCTCTCTCTCTCTCTCTGTCCCTCTCCTTCTCCCTCTCTTCTCTCTCTGTCACTCTCCTTTCCCTCTCTCTCTCTCTCTGTCCTCCTCTCCCCTCCCTCTCTCCTCTGTCCTCTCCTCTCTCTCCCTCTCTCTCTCTCTCTCTTCACTCTCCTTCTCCCTCTCTCTCCTCTCTTCTCTCACTCTCCTTCTCCCTCTCTCTCTCTCTCTCTCTGTCTCTCTCCTCTCTCTCCTCTTCTCTCTCTCTCTCTCTCTCTCTCCCTCTCCTCTCCCTCTCTCTCTCTGCTCTCTCTCTCTCTCTCTCTCTCTCTCTCTCCTCTCTCCCCTCTCTCTTCTCTCTCTCTTCACTCTCCCTTGCCCTCTCCCCCTCTCTCTCTCTCTTGCTCTCCCTTCCCCTCCCCCTCTCTCTCTCCTGTCACTCTCCCTTGCCCTCTCCCCCTCTCTCTGTCACTGTCACTCTCCCTTGCCCTCTCCCCCTCTCTCTGTCACTGTCACTCTCCCTTGCCCTCTCCCCCTCTCTCTGTCACTGTCACTCTCCCTTGCCCTCTCCCCTCTCTCTGTCACTGTCACTCTCCTCCTCTCCTCTCTCTGTCACTGTCACTCTCCCTCCTCTCTCTCTGTCACTGTCACTCCCTCCTCCTCTGTCACTCTCCCCTCTCCCTCCCCCCCTCTCTGTCACTGTCACTCTCCCTCTCCCTCTGTCTTCACTCTCCCTCTCCCTCTCCCCCCCTCTCTTTACTGTCACTCTCCCTCTCCCTCTCCCCTCTCTCTGTTACTGTCACTCTCCCTCTCCCTCTCCCCCCCTCTCTGTCACTTTCACGCCCCCCTCTCTTCACTCACTCTCCCTCGCCCTCTCCCTCTGTCACTTTCACTCTCCTCGCCCTCTCCCCCTCTCTCTTCTCTCGCCTCGCCCTCTCCCCCTCTGTCACTTCACTCTCCCTCGCCCTCTCCCCCTCTGTCACTCTCTCCCTCGCCCTCTCCCTCTCTCCTCTCTCCCCGCCCCCTCCCCCTCGCCCCCTCCCCCAGTATTGTAGCGCAGTTTCGAGATTTTATTTCCCTACTATACCTTTAATGTGTGTTAAAGAATAGGGAATGACTGTGAAAGTTTCTTAACTATTAATATGCAGTGGAGGTAATTCCAATAGTTGTGTTAATATAAATATTAGAAATGTATTATTTTTAGAGGAAAGTAATCCATTGTTAATTTTGTGATCCTAATGTGATTTTACAAGGAATACTTTTATAGAGGCCGTTCCAGATTACTTTCACTAACTTACAACACCAAACCTCAATTTTAAGAAACGTAAAATATTGATTATACAGTTATTTGTAATTACATCATACAAAATGAAATTCTTTGATTTTACCGTAATTACTTATTGCTAGTTTCTCTAGGGACATTAATTGCTTTGTAATACAAAAGTATGTGACACCGGAGATAAATATTAGAAATGTTTGTTCATATTTTTCTATATCCAATTATCTATATTTTGGCAGAGTTATTTTTAAAATTATCTTGTGTAATGAAAACGCATGTGTAATTACTTTTTTTTTCTAATCGGTTTATGCTAAATACGTAAACTGTAAAATGTGTAGAGGTAGAAGTCAGATGTAAATCAAGGGCAATAAAATCAAGAACCCAAAAAGCGGAATTTCAATCAAGTTCAACCCAACAACTTTGCATCTATTAATCAAAAGCAATGTTACTTTCCTTCTGTTTCCTACTGCGAGTGAAGAGTTGTCCTTAATTTTTTTTTTCAGTTGTAACTGAGATGAACAAACTATTTGCCTATGCAAGGTGAATACCGACGGGTAACAATCAATATTTTCTATATATTCACTCGTTAACTTGAACAAAAGATTTCCAATACCCAATTCCTACATGAACATTTGTAACTGATATGTAAGAACTGTATGCTTGTCAGTGGCCGAGTTTCCTTGTATTTTAGGAGATACCGATTACTATTTAAAATATGGGACTAGTTTCAGGCAATTTAGTTACTTTCATTTATCACTCTTATTAATAAATCAATAAAAGCAATCTATTTCGACCTTCTAAGGTAACCTAAGGAAGAAAAATATTTCTTTTTACAATTTAGTGTGAAGGTTAATAAATAAATAAATCTCTTAGCGTTGTGGGAATTCACTCATCAACTTCTACGTCAAACTCTTACAATCGGTCAACATTTTCTTTACTTCAGTTCTCAATGTATCCATCAACACTGCTCTTCTACATAACTAAAAAAGTGGAAGTAAAAAAGGGCCAAAATACAGTGAAAAAATTTATTGATCCATTTATATGAAACACAGACTTGACATACACATAACGTGCGTCTGTACAGTGGGACGCGCGGGAAATCATGGTACACGGCAGGCATGGTCGGCGGCCGGGACTAGACCAGGGCCCAACGAAGACCGGACAGAGACTCGCTCCCTGTGCTCATGTTTTCTTTCTCATGTTTCTTTTTCTTCTAATCGGGGAACAACTCTCAACAAATTGCCAAACCAAAAATATGTATAACAACGTATTAGGAAGGGACAATCAAAAAAGGACGGGGATAAAAAAAAATCAAACAAAAATGCGTTCCTATAATATAAAATGGAGGACGTATGACGTCATGATATATATGTATACAAAAGAGTCCAAACATTTGGCTATAGGACCCTGGAATGCAGAAGGATGTGGTAGGCCGCCGACCCACCTCCATGAGTATATACAAACCGCCTCTTTCTCACCGAGGCTACAGTCTTCTGGCCAACAAAATCATCGTTTGGTCCTGGGACGCGAGCTAAGTAGACAATGATAGAATTTGTATCAACATCATTAATAATTAATACCAGTAATGATTGTATCAAATGGTCTTATGAGTACTAATATAATACAAAGGAACTATTCACAAATGAATGTACATAGATGGGTGTGAGAGTAGAGTGTGAGAGACATAACTCAACCGTAGCTCCGAGACCACTTGACAGCTAACAGTGGCCTGTCTTAGCCGTACGTAATCTTTACACCTTTCAGATTATATTCATTAGACATGAGCACCTCAGTGAGAGATTAAGCCAGAGATTGGAAAAAATTGAAAGTCGATTTTTTCCATTTGTCGTTAGATGGTTGTCTGAAAAGAGATCCCCTCACCGAGCCTCTGTAGAAACAGGTGCTGAAACAAGCTCCGTTTATGATAATAAAAGATTTGATACAATTTGGAAAACCACAATTTCAAGAACGGACATATTAAAGTTATTGCAAAAATCTTGTCTGCACTGATATCTCATTCGGTAATATCTAAAAAGCTCAAAACATGGAAATACATAAAAGGATTATTAGTCCACAGCTCTTTTAAAAAAGTACATCCTTTTCATATAAACAAGGAGCGTTATTACTAAAAACCCTGCGCCTTCTCCATCTACAATTTAAAAAAATTCCACTGATACAAACCATTGCAGTGGCATGGGCGTTATGACAGACATGGGCTAATAAATCAAATAAAAATCAACAAATTAAAAGGAATAACAGAAGAAAAAATGCAAAAGGAAAAAATATCCCAGTCAAAATTCTTCGTAAAAATGAAAGAGGGGAAACTGATGGCTAAATGATGGAGTTGATTACATAACAAACTGTGAGGTGTCTATGAATCTTCAGAACACCTATAGATTATAACCAAATTTCGTGAACACAGCTACACTCATGAGCACATTGAGTCTCCCTCAAGTTGAGCTCTGCCAGCATGGTGGAGCCTCACTTTCACCGCCATCAACAACACGGACAATCTCAAGTTCTACACCTACACAAAGGCATTTATATTAAAATCATAACAAGTTCCACTAAAAAGTCATTTTATGCTCCTCAGGTGTCATGAACTACTATCATTCCCATAAACCATTACGGAAGGGTATATAGGATATGAGAACAAAACATAACATTTGTAATCTCCACCATGCAAGCAAAATATGCTCAATAAGCTGAGGTCCATAGAACACCAAGACAACACACACGTGGCTTTCCTCTCTGCGCACACATTCACACATGCACATGGCAGTAACAGTATGCGCACACAATCACACACGCAGTTTCGTACACATAGAAATATCACATGAAAACTTGAAACATCTTAAAGTTTTGCACATATGAAATAATGGTACATACGGTAACAGAGCAGCAATGTGGTAATGCACTCAGTTTATGAACTTGGACAAACATAAGCTTATTAAGAGTAATGATTGCTATGCTTTTTTTTCTTTTTTAAATGCAGGGAATATGGATGATAATCTGTACAGCATTCGGGAAACTATATGATGTGAACAATTTAGTATTACATGGGGCTGCCTGATGCCAAATCCTTTTATCAGTCTGAATGATTCTGAAAAATTCTAACTTTCTAGGCAGTCTATTAAGACATTCCTTCACAATGATATCTTATAAATCCAAATAACATAATGAATGAATTTGGAATTATCACTACATCTCCACCACTGGACTCTCCTCTCGGTGGTGTCTTGAGCAGAGTCTTCTGAACAGCGGAGTCTTGTGCTGAAGTCACGTGCAGTCTTGATGGAAGACGGAAGAGCAAAGGTCAAACAAGTGTTCAGGGCAGGACTGGCAATAAAAAAAGTGACACTAAACACAAGATGCTGTTTTCTGACACACTGTGAACGAGCACCACTCGAATGCTACCCATATTTCTTATTGTCCTGGTTTGTAGCACTCAGTCTGCAGTCTACATTGCACACACATGAAACAGCACCAAGATAATCTCATTAAAAAACAACGACTGCAGAACGCACCTCCACTAGTCACATTTCAGTGTATCTTAAGCCAGGGAGTCTGATACAAAGTTACTGTAGTGCATAAAGTATGTATATATGTATATATGTATATGTATATGCATATATACATATATATATATATAATATATATATATATATATATATATATATATATATATATATATATATATATATATATATATATATATATATATATATATTATATGTATGTATGTATTTTCTTGCTGCTGCTGCTTCTTGCCTGCTGCTGGGCAAGCTTGTTCGTTGCTTTGTTGCCATTTTCCATGCTCACTCCAGGGCACAATCGTAGCCTTGGGCGTGAGGCACTTCAATTTTCATTCCAGCTGTACGTACAGTAACTCACTTTGAGCAGAAACACAACACTCCCACCACTAAACCTTATGTGAATCAAGGCTCTTCATATTCAAATCCGTACACCTGTGGTGTCCCTCTGTTAGGAAATTGTGCATTACCACATGCCCCTGGTGAGTGTCTGGCATGCTGGGGCACACCAGATAGACCATACACACTGCCATCTACTCCCCCCCATTGGCCCCCATCTCCCATGGCTGCTCCCTGTCCACGGTAAGTGAACATAGTTTCCACCTGTCTATCATAAACAGCAGATTGTGGTGGGGACACGCCATATGGTACCCCTTCATACACATGGTGCGGGGGTGACCCTCCATATGGGCCTGCAGAGAAGGAACCGGGACCCACAAGCCCTGAAGGTGGCACCCTTTGATCGGGTCCAGCCCGTGGGTCTGGGGGGGCGTCCTGTCAGTCTTGGTCTGTGGTCATTATGCTGTGAACTTGCTCTAGCCGGTACGCCAATCGGTTCTTGGTAGAGAATTCATCCTCTTCTAAGGTCAGCATTAATTGGTCACTATACTTGAATGCATAGCCATACAGCTCTGCCAGTGCTGCCAGGCTATTGAACTCTGAATTGTGCATCTGAAAAGAAAAAAGGGAAATGACATTAAATATGCAAGATGAAAGACCGCCCAAAAAATGAAGAATTCAAGTCATTTGAATTTACAATTACCCTTAAGTATTGTCTTACAAAACTATTGTATTTTTGTAATCTTAGATAAATAAAAATAAACAAACACTTTCTGACAAATACTTTACAAAAATCATTCATGCTCTTACCCTGGACTCTTCTGCCAACATGGCATTCATATCCTGGTCAGAGATGGGTTGCATAATCTTAATATCAGCATAATATCGCTCTACCCATTCCTTATAGACAGGGATGTCTTTGGCATATAGTAGCTTAGAACTTGGAGAATCTTTACCTGCAAAGGAAAAAATAGTATATCAGTAAATATCAGAAATGGATGACTAAACTAATAAATACAGGAATAAGTCTGTAGTCAATGTTCCAGCATAATCACTAAATAACTAAAAGAATTCTTAATTCATCAACCATTATATGGTTCCTGAAAATAAATTTGTTTATCACTTCAAAGACTGGTTTAAATAACATTAGGAAGAACTTCTAATACATCTTTTATCTTCTGCCAACTTACCTAATCTATGATCAGATGTAGAACATGAATCCATGAATGTCTGAGCTACTACAGAGAGGCAGGCATCCACAATATTGGACTTGTGGATATCGAATACAAAATTGGGATTCTTTATGAGGTTGACCCAGAACCTGAGTGGTAGGCTGTTGCTCTTCCATGTGTGTACCACCTGCAATGCACAAAAGAAGTTTAGCGAGTCATTCTCACTTTTGCTGAACAACACTATTTTGTGTGAAATTATTAACCCTTGATTTTTGGAATCATTTTTTTTATCTGATATTTCTATTAGAAATGTCAACATTATAATAATAATAGTAATGATAATAATAATAAAATAATAATATAATTCTTACTAATAACAATAACAAGAATAACACGAATAACAATAATAATAATAATAATAATAATAATAATAATAATAATATCATCATTATTATTATTATCATCATCATTAACAACAACAATAATAATATTAATATTAACAATATTTATTAATAATATATATAATAATATATATATATATATATAATAATATATATATATATATATAATATATATATAATAATAATAATAATAATAATAATAATAATAATAACAATAACACCAATAATATTCATAAATACTGATAGCATTAGTATAAAAAAGGAGGAATCAGGTGATGTCACAAGGCTTACTAATTAACTCATTGGTGAGGGAGGGAGGAGGGGAGGAGGAGGAGGAGGAGGAGGAGGAGAGGAGGAGGAGAGGAGGAGGAGGAGGAGGAGGAGGAGGAGAGGGAGGAGGAGGAGGAGGAGAGGAGAGGGAGGAGGAGAGGAGGGAGAAGGAGGAAGGGGAGGCAAGGGGAGGAGGAGGAGGAGGAGGAGAGGGAGAAGGAGGAGAGGAGAAGGAGGAGGAGGAGGAGGAGAGGCAAGGGAGGAGGAGGAGGAGGAGGAGGAGGAGGAGGAGGAGGAGGAGGAGGGAGGAGGAGAGGAGGAGGAGGAGGAGGAGGAGGAGGAGGAGGAGGAGGATTCAGGGAGGAGGAGGAGGGGAATTCAGAGGAGGAGGAGAGGAGAGGAGAGGAGGAGGGAAAGACAGAGGAGGAGGAGGAGGAGGAGGAAGAGGAGGAGGAGGGAAAGACAGAGGAGGAGGAGGAGGGGGAAAAGAGGAGGAGGAGGAGGAGAAGAGGAAGAAAACGAAGCAAAATGAAAAAACATGTCACATCTCTCTCTTACCTCTGGATCTGTAATGCCATGCTGTAGTGCCTGATCATCCAAGAAGTCGAACATATATTTAATTGCTAAAGGTAGGGCAGAGCCACGGTGAGCAGTGCTGAATATGGTCTCGAACAGATCATCCACAAACTTTTGCAGGGTCAGCTTTGTTGACAGGAGACGCGTGAGGTAGATTTCTGACACCATCTTATTTGTGCGTTCTCCCTCACGCTGTTCTGACTCTTGTTGGCGGACCAAGTGCCAAACCTGTGAGAACATTCGGGAAGAATGGGGGAAAACGTTATTAGTACAATTCATTTTTTAAAGGTCCCCTCTATAAAGATATATGTTAATGAATATTTCCATTAAAACCACTACACATTGCAAAGGAATATGTAGTGTTGTATATTGCATAGGAAATGTAGCACAGACATACAGTAAATCAGCTGATTTGCAAGGATTTCATCTACCACTTGTTCAGTTTCAGAAACTTTTTTCAGTAAATTAGAATTTAATTACATTCATTACAACCATTACATTTTGCAGTCACAACACACACGACAGAGAACATTAACATTCCAGTGAATAAAATCATAATCTTGACTTTAATCTGAAATATTCCTTTATAATAATGTGGTAATTCTGTTTTTGAATCTGTTCTCGACATGCTTTGAAGTGTAACCTGATTACTTTTTCTAATGCTGTGAATTTGTTTTGATATAAATATTTATATATATTTTTAACTGTTCACCTGAATCCCTATTCAATACTATGCAACACAAGTGCAGGTTAGTAACCATCAGTGAACTGAAAATAATCATGCAGTAACTAAAAGAATGGCAAAAAAACAAAACTAGAAAACAAAACCTAATAACAGCATTCAAATTTTCTTGTACCAAATTGTGTACAACATTGACAATTTAAAATGGGTAAAATATGAATAAAACATATCAATTCAGAAAAAAAATCTCAGAAAAAAATCCTTCAAATAAGCATCACATGAAAAAAGAACACCAGAATACAAAAAATACACACAATCCAAAGATGAAAAGGAAAGAGAAACAATGGCTTTAACCTGCCTTGATGTGCAACAGACCTTTGCTCCTACCTTTACCCCTGCTTCATTATCATGGTTAAGGGGTGAAGTGGCTCGAGAGAGAGGTGGACTGGAGGAATTTAGTTTGCTCCTGTTGAGCGTGTCGTATTTGTGGTGCGACTTGTCAGATTTATCAGAGAGTATTAACATGTAGATGGACGACTGCTTGGGTATGAGAGTCAGCTGGGCCTGGTCAGGCACATTGTAATGGCCAAGGGTGTTGAGTTTCTTCCAACCGCCTTCTGGTCGGGTGGTTGTGTCTTCATCATAGAGAATCAGACGGCCTGCGGAAGGACAAGAAAAGTTTTACTACATCACAAATACCTAGTGCTGTTGGCTATCTATTCATAATTTTTCTTTTTTCTCTTAAAAAAAAAAAAAAAAAAAAAAAAAAAAAACTTTCAAAGCAACTAAAAAACATTAATCCATCCACCTGAACAGCCATTCTCCTTACCTGATGTTCCTGTGCGCCATTCGAGATCTAGGTCTTCTCTTCGTGGACGCTGTGAATAGGGGTATGAGCGATATATTGCATCTAGTGACTTTTCCTTCACCTGAGAGATAGTATCACAATCCAAGACCTTCACTGGGGTTTCATCTCCTTCCATGGGTCCATCTACACTTCCCATGTACAGGTTACACATGGACACATACACCGTCTGAAAAGGTAAGTGGCTTTAGTACAGCTTCCTTCAATAAATACAAGAACTCCAATAAAATCATAATCTTCATTTTGAAATTGCCCAAGTTCCATTGCATTACCTTTCAAATGCAATGCATAATCACAATCCTTTTAACACAGTATTTCAAATCAAATACACTTTTCATATGAAACTTTCCGTGCACTGCCTGATCTGTATGTTTGCATGTATGTATGTATGTAAGCTTGTGCTATAGTGCAACTATATACACAAAGCTATATAACTTCAAAGGCCTGAAGTTTGTGCTGAGTTGGACCACGGAGGGTCAAGGTGACTGTCAGTGGAAGTGTCCCGGATTCTGACAGTGCAGATATGGCAACCCTACAATTAACACTGAGGTAAGCTACTCTAAACAAGTAACTTCTGCCTGAGAACAGAACCTGAATCCTAGTCCTACCATTTCCTTGTAGTCAATGCTCTGGCGGATGAGTTTCTCTTCAGACAGAGAATATCTTGCTTCTGAAGTGACAGCATCCACTGGACCCTTGTCCACTTGTTGTTTTATGGCTCTGAACAGCATATAGAGTGGCTCTCCAGCACATTCCTTCAAGAACTTGTAAAGCAGGAATGTGAACCAGGATGAAAGCATCTTTTCTGCTACACTTTCCGTTCTGAAATGTTTACATGATTTATTAAACACAAAAGAGACATTGAACCTATTACAAAATTACAAATCATAGTTTTTTTATTGAATAAATATTGAAAAAGGAATGCCCAACTGGGAAGTTACAAACCTTCTGAAGAGTAGTTTAGGATGGATCTTTCCTTCAATACACTTTTCAATCAGTTCTGCTAGAAGAGTCTTCAGGATGTCTGAACAGTATTCCATTTTTCCTTGTAAGGCGACCATGATGAGGGAAGCTACATTTACCCTGAAATAGGACAATTTTGTTTAACTTTTGGTTATATATCCTGAAATTCTTCAGCGCACACACAAAAAAATTAAGAATTTATCAATTTCCCAAAATATATAAAAGACTAAAATTTCACTGCATAAGAGTTTATATTAACACAACAAAAATGTCTCTTACCTGTCTCTCATGGAAAAGTATCGGTTAGATTCCAGGGTTCGAATAAACAGTAGTAAGAATGTCTTATTCATTATTAGCTGGCCGAAGAGCTTCAGGCCTTTTTCCTTCCTTGCAAGGTCAGGCCGGTCCATCTGCAGTACAGTTGTCTCTTCCAGATTGGGAAATAAGATCTTCATGGCATATGTACGGTACTCCAGGAACGGAATACCACCACAAGTCAGGTCGCTAGTCAAGTCTGTCATCTCGGTCTGCAGTTCAGCAAAGGCTGGAAAGTAAAGATTGTCAGTGATATTAATATAAAACTTCATTAGGAACAGATACTAAATGATGTCGACTGGGAAAAAAATTTAATACTTATAATCATTTTTCAAAAATTGACAGTGTTACTAACCTTCTTTGCATTCAGCTGCCACTCGAAGTTCTAGAATGTCCATTTGTTCTTGCATACTCTTGAGAACCCGTGAGTTTTGGTTGCTCTTTTGACGATAGACAATGAGGCAAATCACCAAAATCAGAATAAGAACCACAGCACCAACTGAGAGGCTAATGATCAGTTGTTTGGAGAGTGTTCCAAAGTCCTTTGTGTTAGCATACTTCAAGAATCCAATTCTGTATGTGCGATTACCACCAACAATCACCTGAAAGTGCGAGATATAAATCAAACAATGAATGTGATTAAAGTTCTAAAACCATGAGGCTCTTTACAAATCTCTAAAGACCATAGGAATGCTCAGAGAAAAAAGATTTCCACACACTTACCACAACCAAGGGCAGGTCATTGTTTTTGTTTGGTGCAGGCTGCTCTTTTGGTGGCCTGCATGTTAGCTGAGACCGAGATAATGATGTGACATTGCAAGACTCTTCACCAATGCGGACCTCTACATCAATCTCCTGTGCAGCCCTGTCCAGGTTCTTACCATTGATTGTGAGGTAATCAGACTTGTACATCTTGATCTGGAAAAATAGAAATTTGCCTTTAATACCAAGATTATGAATACCTGTATCAAATACATATACATACTCCAAGATAACAGTGACTGAAATTAATGGATACATCCCCGTAAACTTACCTGGCTTTCATCCTCAAATGTGAAGTACTCGGGTTTTGGGAAAACAAGGAAAGGAGAAAATTCCCTATTCTGGAGATCACGAACAGACTCCACGTTATCCATGATGAAGCCATAGTCAAGCATCATGCCATTCTCCTCGTCAATCCTCTCATTACTATCAATTGCAATGGCTGGAGACTTGCATTCCATTCTTGTTGCATTTTTTACATGACAGGGCTGTAGACAATTAAATGCATAAATTCAAATATGTTACATTTTTCTTGCTTGAATCTTAAATTATCTTATTTGATACATACCTCCAATTTTCTATAACCAAATATATCAAATAACTATATACCTATACAAAGATAATATAAATACTCACACTTGTGTATTCTTTGTCCTTGTACATGACATACATTTTTGGCTTACGGATGACATTAAAATTGGTGCCGTCAACAGTGATAATTATTCCTCCAGATGGAATACCTCTCGGACCATTTCTCTACAAAAAACAAGTTCTTGGTAAAATCATCAAAAACAATTTTGCACAATATTTCAATCAGATTGATTATCAAATGTTTAAAAGCTAGTTAAAAAGCTGTATATCGTTCATAGAAAACTAATGATTACGAAAAAAATGACTTACTACGCCCGCCTGTCCCACTCTGCCAGACTTAACAGAGGTAATTTCTGGATCGTCAACATAAGTGAAGTACTTCCCCTCCAACTTTCTTCGGCCATTGTCAAAGGTCATTTCAATACTACCTTCCTTTTGCAAGTCCGAATACGAAGATGTAATGCATGTTGCTCTACTTGCATTTGTGCTGCAGATAACATTTCAATTAGGTTTTTGAGAAACTGCCTTACTAAAGCAATGGTGTGTGAATCATCAATCATTACTAGGCTGTAACTGTTGGATTCATAATGGCATCACTTAACATTTACAATTAGTACTTACTTTTGAATTTTGCATGGAAGTCCGTTAATGAATGCTTTAATGCGGCTGCCAGCATTCATGTACTTGCCAATAATGTGGAGCACTGTCCCTCCTGACCTTGGTCCTGAATCTGGTGTCAAATCTGTTATTACTGGATTCACAAACCGATACTTGTCTTGGGATTCACCACGGTATTCACGAGCCACCTGGAACATGTCATTTACATTTAATTTTTTCAGTAACACCTTATACATGTTCATAAATTACTAAGTTATATCTTCACTGCAACTGGCAATAATGAGATTACAAACCTTTACAACAATGGGTCCTTCCTTAAAGTCATTCACTCCTGGGCTGTCTACCATGCAAGTAACCTTCCTGGTTTTAACATATGATTCACGAAATGGTTGGCAGTTAATTCCAGCAACAGTTATTCCATCATAGATGTCATCAATCTGCTTGCCTAAATTGATACCTGAGGAGGAGGAAGGAACACTTAGTCAATCTATAACTATGGTATCTACTGCTAATTTATGAATCTGCTTCATATAAAGGTATCTAGCTTTCTTTATGAAAAAGGTCACCACTATTCATTCCTAGTATTCAAAATCTAAACCATACAATACCTTCTATGGTAACATTCGTGCCTCCATCCCAAGGGCCACTTCGTGGATAAAAGTTAGTAATATTTATATTGGGACAGGTGCGATCCCTGTCCAACCATGTCCCGTCCTCACATTGGGCTGCCACTTCACAGCGACTTGTTGACTGACACCAGCCACATTTATAGCGCTCAGCAAGACTTAAGCACATGCCACAATTGTTGGCCATGAGCTGACACTGAAACACCAGCACTGGTTGGAGGAAGAGAAGAAAAGAAAAAATATTAACAGGTTAAACAGATAACAATGACAACTTGAGACACATGGTATATTATTGTAAAATAAAAAAAAAATCTTAAATGTACTCTTATATGTTTACCATTATGGAAGCAATATATATACACACTATATGTATCAGGTAAGAAAATACACAATATCAACCTCACCATGAATGTTATCAGGATTATCAAGGGGTTTTGAGCCTCCCCAGATCACAGCAAATGTTGCATTAGTTGATGGTGCAGCTGTTGTATATGAAAATTCCATTCTGTCACAGTAAATAGTATCACTCAGCAAGTTGGCATTTACACTGGTAACTCTTCCTTCAATGTTGAATTGACACACAAACCTTGTCTGTGTGATGAATTGCTGCGAAGATAAAGAAAAAATATTATTAAAAAATCTAATATTTATGAAAATAGGACAACTTGACTATGCAGAAAAAAATTGAAGATACAGAAGATTCAATTCTATTTTCATTTGTAGAGCAACATCAGAAAACTTATACTTACAGCTATATTGTCAACTTTGACTTTGATTGACTTATCAGTGCCTGATGAAACCAAAATTTCTTGGCTCTCAAGAAAGGTAATTCGAGGACAAAATGAAGGTCCACTTCTGATGCTTGGTCCAACACGCTGAAAAAGAAGTAGACATTTATAATATCCATCCGCCAAAATGCCCTACAGATATTCCTCTAAAGCTCATTATCAAAACACTGGATTTAAACAATCACACAAACTTACATTTACACCATTGACTAGAACGTCATTTCTGCAATTTTCTGCAGAGTCGTGTGTGCATCGATGGCCATCAACACACCAGTCACAAGGAAAAGGGGACGATACACATTCAGTACAAGAGCTATAGGTATTGCAGTCGAAAAATGTGAAGTTTGTACACACAAACTCTGGCCCTTCAGATTTTCGCACACAGAGCTTTGCTGTAAAGTGATCTGAAATGGGAAAATTGAGATATTGAGATGACATAAGAGCTACACCCTATTATTCATATAAGCTACAAGTATTAGTGCAGCAGAATTCAAGATAAAATAAATTCATATTTATAAGAAAAACACTGACTTACGTTTATTCTGTGGGATATCAGGAAGCATGTCATTCCGGGGAGTGGTACAAGAAACCCCCTGAGCAGTACGCTTGGCCTTTGTGGTGAGATCTTTCCCCATAGCACTAAAAACACATTGCAATGGTCCATCCACTGATGGCAGGTTGTCAATCATCAGTGCTAACTGTAAGAAGAAAAATTACATGATCAAACAATGTGGAACTGAATTATTATTATCTTTATTATTATTATTATTATTATTATTATTAAAAAGAAAAAAAAATATTTTATTTGCACTGGGTAATTATACTGTCCACAGAATTTTTCTTTTATGAATCTTCTTTATACATACAAGACTCCAGAAGTGCTTAATCATCAAGAAGTCAATTAGCAGGCCTACCTGACCTCACCTGATATCCCCATTCCATGAATTTTTGGTAAAAATATATATTATGCTATTATATAATCAATATAATCATTATCATTATTATTATTGATATTGGGAATTTGTTCTATCAATACTACTAATAATTAGAAATAAACAAAAATCTTCCCGGAAATCAAGGAAAAGGGTTAATAGGGACTACAAATTGACTCCTTGGTGAACTGAGCTCTTCTGGAGCTATTTATGTTTGAGGCTACTAAAATCATAGTACCCATGGCATGCTACTGTAGCATCAATGGAAAAAAAGCAAAAACAAAAACAAAAAAAACTCACAGTCCTGGCAGTGGTCCTCTGTAGCTTATCTGGCATGACTGTGGTGATGGTGGTGCAGCGGCCTGTCTTGTAGCTCACCCAGTGCTGAGGATCTTGGGTGGCGTCACGGCAGTCTCGACGCAAGGAGCACTTGTTCTCCAAGGAACACCAGCCACAATAAGGATCACGAGCACCCAAACATTGGTTACATCCCTCATATATGCTGCACTCTTGTGCTTTGACTTTTGAGATCTGTGAAAAAAAATTCACGTTAAATTCTGTTTAATAAACAAATAAATAAATATATACACAATATATACATATATATATAATATATGCAATATATATAATATATGCAATATATATAATATATGCAATATATATAATATATGCATATATATAATATATACATATATATGCAATATATACAATATATATATAGCATATATACAATATATACAATATATATACAATATATACAATGTATACAATGTATACAATATATACATATATTTACATATATATATATATATATATATATATATATATATATATATATATATATATATATATATACATATATATATATATATATATATATATACATATATATATATATATATAGTATATACAATATATACACATATAAATATATATACAATATATACAATATATATACATATATATACACAATATATACATATATATACACAATATATACATATATATATATATATACATATATATATATATTATATATAATATATACTACAATATATACATATATATACAATATATAATACTATTATATAATACACAAATAATATACATTAGTAATATACACAATATAATACATATATAGATATATATATATACAAATATACATACTATATATACAACTATATACATATATCCAAGATACATAGATATACAATAATGACAGTATAGTATAACAATGATACACTATATATGAAATATAGTACATTA